GCCTCCTGCCCCCCTTCTGCTGGCTCCATTCCTGCTGTGCACACTCATCACTGCACTTTTGCTGGGCAACTTCCAGGTCACTGCTCATCTGCCAAGGTGTCTTTCTCTGGAAAGCAGGTGTTCTTGCTTCTGCTGGTCTTCAGAGGTGTCCTGTGCATAGGTGTAATCTTCATTATTTTTACTTTTCTTACCATGCAAATGTTCTCTCAGTCTTAAACTGAAAGTGATCTTCCAATATCCTTTCTTTTTTATTTATTTTTTTGGCAGAACCGGGGATTGAACTCAGGCCCTTGAACCCAGTATCCTTTCTTTCTTGTCTTCAGTCTAGTTTGTCATTCACTGACAGAGTAACCCTTTAATTAAAAGTGCAAGTGAAAGCTGGGCTTGTTGGTGCATGTTTATAATCCCAGCACTCAGGAGGGAGGCTGAGGTAGGAGGGTCGTCATGAATTCAAGGCCAGCCTGGGCTACATAGTGAGTTCAGGGTCAGTGAGACCTTGTCTCAAAAAAAAAAAAAAAAAAAAAAAAGGTGTGATTGCTCTCAAAGGTCTTCAGGTGTCACCCCGGCCTCAATAGCCACACCTTCAGCTTTGCTGCTGCTCCTGGTGCTCTTCCCCCTCTCTGCTGCCTGAATGTGCATTACTTCATGTCCTGACACACTCTTCGCTCCAGGGTGAAGTTCTTAGACTCGTCTGGTCCCAGAGCATTTGGCTTACATGTTTATTATCATATATAGCTATCAAGGACATTTGCTTCATGTCACCCAGTTCTAGCTTGAGCATATGAAGACTTGGATGGTATCAAGTTAATTTTGTGATTACAATGTCTTGGCCCTAATGCATATTGTGCGTTTGTTCTGTGGATGAATAGAGCCAAACATAAAAGAACATTGCAGACATTCAGCCTGCCCTGTGCCCATTCTGGGATAGCAAGGTGTGTGAGCACAACTGTGCTCCCTGGGACTCTTCCTTATTGTTTCATGCGTCTGTGGAGAGCTGAAGTAGTTTTTTTTTTCTTTTGCGGAACTGGGGATTGAACTCAGGCCCTTGCGCTTGCCAGGCAAGTGCTTATTCTACTGAGCCATCTCCCAGGCCCCTGAAGTAGTTTTATAGCACACGAGTGTGACATTTCATCCTTGTGATTGGTCTTCTATGCTGACCCCTCCCTAAACCATATTCATATGAAATGAGAATAAACTAGATGACCCTGAGAATTAAACATTGCCAATCGTGCTTAGGTTTCTTGGCTCCATGGTAACTGACACAAAGTCTTTCTGCCCTGCTGATGCTGGCACAGGACAAGTGTGATACCTTCATTCAGTTCTGGTCAGCTCCTGCCGAAAGAGGTGGTGGGAGCAGTGACACTGCAGACAAACTTCATTTCTGTTTTTTACTTTACTAATTTCATCATATACCTTCTCTGTGCCTCAGAAGAACACTATTTCTTCACCTGCCTTGTCTCAACCTTTGTAGTCAGCTCTTAAATATATAGTTGTATATTAAATGTATATACATCATGTAAGCCCTGGAGTGTAGCTCTCTGGGTAGAGCATTTTGCTTAGAATGTATGAGACCCTGGGTTTGATTCTCAGTACCACAAAAAATTAGTAGTATGATTATCTTAGCTATCTTATGTGTGATAACTAAGATAATCGTACTACTAATTTCTGTTGGTTCACTGAAAGGAACAGTTAGTGCTTATATTGTTTGATCGATTTTATATACCTGTATCTGGTAATCTGAGCAACTACTTGATGGTAATAATAGCAATATAATAACCTTTGTTAACTTCTTGTTTTGAAGTTCTGTATCATTTTTATTGTTTTTTAAAATTCTCTCTTTTCATTTGTGTATTTGGTACAGGGTCTCACTGCACAGCTCAGACTCGTGGTGATCCTCCTGTTTTTAGCCTCCCCAGCAGTGGGATTACAATGGCTTGTGCTAGCACCCCCAGATTATGTGGCTGGTTCAGTGCACCCCGGGGGCAGAGCCAGCACAGCATGTGGGACTGGGCATTCAGCCCTGGACCCTGTACTTGCCAAAGCAGATGCTTAGTCCACTGAGCTGTCTTGCCAGCTCTAAAATAATCTTTAAAATAAAAACCAAAAAATTACATATTTTTATTATGCAGGTGTGTTTACTTTATTCCTTTTAAGTCTGAAAAGAAAGTGAGTTGATTATTTTCTTCAATTTCTGAGGAATCTGAGTCTTCACAGTCATAACTCGGGAGCAGTGAAGTCAGACTCAGTCCTAGGTCTTGGTCTCCAATCCTGTCTCCTACGCTTCTTGTCTGTCAAATGAAGGCTTCTTACAGATCTCAGCTCCTGAATTTTACCTTCTCTTAACACAGGGTATCAGGGGAACTGGCAAGGGGGTGAATGTTGGGCCCTCAGCTGGGAAATGGATGTGTACAGGGCACCCTGTGGCTTTCCTGGAGCAAGGGGTGATGAGGCCCTCCCCACTCTTCCTCATTCTCTGCTCATAGTACAAGGGAGGAGGCTTCGGTGGTATGACTGGAGTCATCTGCATGACCTGTGTGGATAGTGTTAGTGTGGTGGTTCTCAGCTGGGGCCAGCTTTCCATTCCCAGGAACAGGGTCTGGAGATGCTTTGGGTCATAACAGGGAGATTACTATTGGCCCCTGGTAGGTAGACACCACAGATGCTCCTGAGCACAGGGAAGGGCCCCACAATGATGTTATCTGGTAGCTGTTGTTGGCAGTACTGAGGTTGAGAAACTCTAGGTTAGGACTGAGCACCCTCAGGGTCCCACTCTGGCTATAAGATTGTTGGAGGTAGGAGGGGGCTGAAGTTCTGACACTAAAATAAGTAGAAGAGATGACAGGCAGCAAAAATAAAAGCACCACAAACTAGAGCTATAATTCAGTGACTGGGATGAATTATATGTTTGAAAATGTTGGACTACTTGAGGTTTCTCAGAACTTATAAACTTTTTTTTTTCCTTTTTTTAAAAAATTGTTTTCTTAATATCTTTTACTTTTCTTTTACTAGTACAAGTTTGAAGTACATACATTTTACAAGTGTTTAACTTCTAAATTTAAACTTCAGAAAGATTCTAGCTTGGTGTGGTAGTGCATTGCCTGTAATCCCAGCACTCTGGAAGTCTGAGGCAGGACAGATGAAAGTTTGAACTCAAGCCTGGGTAATTTAGCAAGACCCTCCCTCAAAAATAAAAGTTTAAAAATGGCTGAGGATCTCGCTTAGCAAATGCACTGAGTTCTATGCCCCATACAAAAAAGGAAAAAGAAATAAAAGAGCAAGCCTGTGGCACGTGTGCTGCAGCAAGCTGTTTGCTACAATTGAAAGTTCTAAACACTATAGTAGCACTTTTCTGGGTGATTACTTTTAACAAGAGTTATGTGAGACTAAATTTTCATGTAGAGTAGCATACATATGTGTCTACTTAGTTGCTTGGCACTGGGACAAAATACGTCACACCCACAGTTAAGGGAAAAGTTTATTTTGGTTCAGGTTGTAGAGGTTTCAGTCCATAGTCTTCTGACTCCTAGGCGGGGTGGCATGAGAGGGCTGTGGCAGAAGAGAAAGAGTTCATGGCTAGGCGTGGTGGCATATACTAGTAATCCCAGCACTCAGGAGGCGGAGGAAGGAGGATCACTGTTAGTTCAAGGCCAGCCTGAACTACACAGCAAGACCCTGTCTTAGAAAAATAAAAAAGCTCCTGACAAGCCAGGCAGGAAGCAGCAAGCATCAAGAGAGGCCACGCCCCCAGGGACCCACCTCTTCCCACCGGGCTTGTAAACCAATCAGAGGACTAATCCAGTAACACATCCATGGTCCAGCCACTTCCCAAGACCTCCACCTATAAACACATGAGGCTTTGGAGAGACAACTAGGTGTAAACTATAATATTATGTAACTAATATTTAAACTTAATTCATAATTTAATCTTTTGAAGGGAATTATGAACAAAAACCTAGAAGTGAACACACTTAACTAAAGCAAAAACTGCTAGGTAAGGTGGTGCATATCTATAATCCCAAGCACTCTGGGAGACTGCGGCAATATGATTGTAAGTTCAAGATCAGCCTGGGCAATTTAGTCATTTAACAAGAACCTGTCTCAGAATAAGAAGTGGGATGGTATGTGTTTTGTTTTTTTTGTGAAGGCTCCAAGTTTAGTCCTCAGAATCATTTAAAGAAAAAAAAGCCAAACTGAACTAAACCAAAGCACTTTAAGGGGACTTCTAGTTTAAAGTAGAATCAAACTTGCCGGGTATGGTACTTCATGCCATAATCCTAGCACTCAGAAAGCTGAGGCAGGAGGATCAAGGCCAGCCTGAATCATAGACTGAGAACTTGTCTAAAAATAACACAAGTGGACCCAAATTTATTCTCTGAACTATTTAAGTTGAACACTCCTAGAACACTATATTCCTCATCTAGGAAAAGTTATTATTCAAGCTGACTTAAGCAACATTTAATTTATTACTTAACTATATTAACAGTAATTCTACATGCATGATTGTAGGATGATACTTAGTAAAGAACCCTTACACTTGTCATTAACTTTGGATGTTGTGGTGTGCTGACCTAAGCATGCTGGATCTGTGCCCTATGTGTTCATTTGTTAGAATTTCTCTAATATTAATTACCATGTTCTTTACCTAGACAGTTACTAGTATTTAATGCAAGAAGAACAACTGATTAAGCCCATAATTGCCTGCTCTTCCCTTTAACTTAGTTCACTGTGTTTGAGAATAAGCTTTATGAATGTGACTCATATTTGCCTATCTTGCTTTTATGTTTATAATGTCCTTTGTACCAGACCTATTTCACTTCCTTGGGAGAACCTAGAAATGTTTAGAAGCTTTTTTTCTTTGCCTGTCAGACATGGTAGCTTTGGGCCCAGCTGAAACAGGGATCTATTGCCAGGTTTCCAAGTTGCATGATTTGGGTGAACCTCTCCTTCTGCCCCCTCACGTGAAAACCTTGTGAGTCCCCTCATCCAGGGTGTCATTTCAGGTGAACCACTGTCTACCAGAGAAAATAGTGGTATACCGTGATGGAGTGTCTGATGGCCAACTAAAGACGGTTGCTAACTATGAAATTCCTCAGCTACAGAAGTGTTTTGAATCTTTTGAGAATTACCAGCCCAAGATGGTGGTGTTTGTAGTTCAGAAGAAGATCAGCACCAATCTATACCTGGATGCCGCTGAGCACTTTGTGACTCCCTTGCCTGGAACAGTGGTAGATCACACAATAACAAGTTGTGAGTGGTAAGTGGTCAAAAAAGGTGACATTAGGGGCCGGGGAGATCACTCAGTATAAGCGCTTCCCTGGCAAGTGCAAGGGTCTGAGTTCAATCCCTGGTTCCGGAAAAAAAAAAAAAAAAAAAAAAAAGGTGGCATTAAGGTTGGAGATGTAGCCTGTTTCCTAGATACTGGTATATTAGGTTTGCTGGAGAAGTATGGAAGGGAAATCTTAGATTCTGCTATTAAAGGCTAGAATTTTGTTTAAAAAGTATAATGGTCAACAAAGATTTTACCTCTGTAAAGTATAAAATATTGAATATAACATCCTCTTCCTATAATAATGTATGTGTAACCTTTACACACAGATAAGGTAGTTTCACTGGCTTAATGTGCCAGGTGTGGTGGTGCACACCTGTAATCCCAGCACTTGGGAGGCTGGTGTAGAAAGATTGCTGTGAGTTGGAGGCCAGCCTGGACTACACGGTGAGACCCTGAGCTAATGCTGGTTAGGTCCTGTGTGCCTTTGATCTAGCCATTTACTCTGAGCCTTAAATGAAAAAATCTGGAATGATTTCCAAGATCCTTTCTGGCTCTTTCTTGCTGACTCTAGCCGTGTCACTAATTGGTCCTTCTTTCTAGGGTGGATTTCTATCTTCTTGCCCATCATGTACGGCAGGGCTGTGGCATCCCTACACATTACGTCTGTGTTTTCAACAGTGCAAACCTGAGCCCTGATCATATGCAGAGGTGAGTCGATCAGCAGTTTGCTCTTTCTCACTCTTAATTCTGATTAGCTGGCTAAGGTGGAGTTACTACCTACACCAGGTGTATGTGCCCTTAGACTTTTACAATAATGGTATTATCTTTTTAAAGAGTGACTGGTAATGTTATTTTTACATTGAAATTACTTAAAGAATTTTAAAACACATGGTGACTCCTATTATCCTAGCATTGGAAGGCTGAGGCAGAAAGATCACAAATTCAAGCTTTTGCCAGACCACGTAGCCAGATCGTATCGCCAAACAAAAGAAGCTGAGCACAGTGGCACACAGCTGTAATCATAGCACTTGGGAGACTGAGGCAGGAGGATCCTGAATCTGAGCCCAATCTGAGCTTCATAGCAAATGCAAGGCTGGCCTGGACTACATAGAAAGACAAAAAAAAAAAAAAGGAAAGAAATGTTGATGTTAGGATCTACTACCTATGATACCTTTTAAGTGTGAGTGTGAAGGGCCGGGGAGATAGCTCAGTAGAATAAGCGCTTGCCTGGCAAGCGCAAGGTCCTGAGTTCAATACCCGGTACCGCAAAACAAAAAAACAAAAAACACACAGGACACAAAATTGGGGCTGGCGAGATGGCTCAGTGGTCTAAAGCACCTACTTGGAACAAGCTTGGCAGAGCACAAGGACCACGGTTCAATCCCCCAGCACCACATGCCAGCCAGCCCCGCCCCCTGGTGGGCTGAGCTGGCCACACACACACACACACACACACACACACACACACACACTAAATAAATAAATAAATGTTTAAAAAAAAAAGTGTGAGAGTGTGTGTGTGTGTGTGTGTGTGTGTGTATGCATATTTGTAAGAGACAGGGTCTTGCTATGTTGCCTAGGCTGCTCTTGAACTTCTGGCTAAAGCAGTTTATTTGCCTCAGCCTCTTGAGTCGTTGGGACTATAGGTACATGCCACCATGCCTGGGTGGCATCCATATTTTTAAAATTGCTCCATGATGAGGCCTCTGTCACAAAAAACAAAAACAAGTAAGAAAAGAAAAGACAAGTCAGCTAGCCTGGCATGGGGACACACACCTGTAAACCCACCACTTGGGAGGCTGAGGCAGGAGGATCATTGCAAATTTAAGTCCACCCTGGGCTCCATAGTGTGTTCAGGGCCAGCCAGAACATGACAAGACTGTCAAATTGATTAACTAATCAAATTTTAAAATGGTTGCCAATGATTATAATATAGAGACAGATTTGAGACCCTGTTTGCTGGAGTCAGATTATGTGAACACTTTGATGAAGTGCTTGCATTCTGCGGCTTTTTCTTTCTTCATTTGTTTTCTTTTTGTAGTACTGATGATTGAAACAGGACCTCAACACTGAGCTACATCTCCAGCCCTTTTTTATTTTTTAATTTGAGATAGGGTCTTGCTCAATTACTAAATTATCCAGGCACGGCATGAATTTATTATTCTCCTGCCTCTGCCTCCCAGAGTGCTGTGGTTACAGACGTGTGCCACCATGCCTGGCTTCTCAGCCTTTCTTGTAGACAAAAAGAAAAAAAAAAAGATTTTTCTTCATGTTGTATTTTTGTATTAGTAGAATAGCAGGACAGTACCTAAAATGAAAGGACTTAGCCATGTCCTTTAACTTACTGATAGTGGGAATAGGAATAGTTCCACGTAAAAATAATAATACCCGAAAGACTCATCTTGTACTCCTGGGTTCCCACTGTGCTCGTGAGTGTGCTGTGTGTCACATCCCTAACATGTGTCTCTGACACCTTGTGGAGGTATAGGGGGCAAATGAACTTCTTCTTGGCCTAAGGTTGACCTTCAAGCTGTGCCACCTGTACTGGAACTGGCCTGGTACCATCCGAGTCCCAGCCCCTTGCAAGTATGCCCACAAGCTCGCCTTCCTGTCAGGACAGATCTTGCATCACGAGCCGGCCATCCAGCTGTGTGAGAACCTGTTCTTTCTGTGACTGTGTGCCCTGGACCTAGGCTGGCAAGGAGAAATTGGACTTCTCACCTCAGCTGTGACACTTGAGGAACCAGCAGACGTGGAAGTGGGGTTTGGTGTTGGTGTTTTCCCTTTCTGCTACCCTTTGAGTAAGATTACCTTTTGTCTGTTAAGCCTGGTATCACCAAGAAGCAAGCTTTTCAATACTACCTGGAAATTGCCTTGATGCCATTGTGCAGCACAGGACAGTAGTGCTACTGCTGTGCAATAGCGTGCTGAGGCTGTTGCAGCACCAGGCTCCTGTAAGGGCAGGGAGTGGGACTTGGTGGCAGAGCGGACCGAGCATCCATGGAGCCCTGCATTCAGTCCCCAGAACAAAAAGAAAAAAAGCCCCCAAGCCAACATGAACTGTAGAAACCTGCAGAAAGCAGCAGTTATGCCTCGAAGCAGTGTTGAAGGAATAATTCCCATTTTTGCTGCCAGAGGTGATAGTGACTGAAGTGACTGCATGTTTCTTAAAGTTGTTACCTTCTTTAGGCAACTGGGAAAGGTGAAAGAGAAGCCTGTGAAGCAGTTTTTTTTTGAAGAGGTGTTGCTCTTGCCAGCAGGTGTGAAAGGCATGAGGTAAGCCAAACGTGGCATGGCAGGGCCTTGGTGCCAACATCTTCCCTGGGGATTGAATTTATGACTCCTGTGATGTGAGTTGGGTGCCTCACAGCTGTTCCTGGGTTTTCTTTCAGAGGATTTCAGTTGAAGTTTTTCTGTACCTTTCGGTGACTTTACACAATGCCATGTTGCTCTCTGGCTCCCCACATTGCACCCACATGCGCATACATACACCTTTGCTCTTTATGACTGATCTTCAGTAACGATCAGTTCTTAAAAAAACAACAGTGGAAGGAATCCAGCAGCTAGGAAAGTTCAGGATAGGGTGAGGTTTTTTATTGAACCTTCCTCCCAGTGCCAGGCCTTTCGGTTGTGTGTGTGTGTCTGTAATGGGAGTACTCCTTTCTCTTGCACAAGAGCTTCTACTAGTTGTGAGCTCACTTTCTCAGAATTTTTCAGAATCCCAGTGAAAATTTCCAGAAGTTGGTTTGGAAAATGGGATACTCTTACCAATTACCCAGGTCCAGCATTCCAGTTTTGGACATTGTCACCATGCCTGCGAGTTTTAGTATTTGGCAGATGTAATGGTTTCCTGTGTGTGTTTTTTTTTCTCTCACTGTTTTAAAATTATCGTGTCTTTTCAGCTGAGTTCTGTCCTATCTTGCTTTGCTAGGTTTTAAAACACAATTTTAGCCTTTCAAATTTGTACTTTTATAACTACTGTAGTTGTTTGTACCATTTTTACACAACATTGCGTGAGTCTCTACTACTCTGTAACACTCCTTAAAAGAAGCCGTGGGGCTGGTGGTGCTGCTCAGTGTTGCGACATAGCACGGAAGTTCCCAGCACTGCCAAGGGAAGAAAGAAAGAGACCAGAACTGTTAGTTTGTGGCATCACCCAGAGTGAGCTCTGATGGTCTTCAGTTGCATTCTGGTTTTATTTGAGCCCCTGACATAGGACAAGGCTAAATCCTGGAATTTAAAAGCCACAGAATCAACCATATTGAACCATTGGTCTCTGGGTGAAAAGATCAGTTTCCTAATTTTCTTTGGAAGCATTGTGAATTTCTCTTTTGAAGTTGGATTTTCTAATATTCTTCTCTTAGATAATGATAACAGATACTTGAATATAATGCCAAAATATCTTCACTTTTTATCCTGGTGTTCTTGGTTTGTTTTTCAGTTATAATCCAAATGATTGACTCATGGACAAGAAATAAAAGGAGGTTTATATAAATGTGTGCTGTGGCTCAAACAGTATTATTTATATATCACACAAACTTTTTATTTTATTAAAAATAAAACTTTCTCCCTTCAGATAGCTGCATACTTACAATTATTTATCATTCTGCATACAAGGTATAGCATGAGTGTTAGGAGTCTCACTTCTGGACAAGTGAAGCTTTGATATTGTGTGTGTGTGTGTGTGTGTGTGTGTGTGTGTATGTGTGTTTCTTGATTTAGATCTCTCCCCATCAGTTACTGTTAGCCCAAAGACAGTCAGAACACCCAATTCCAAGCGTGGCCCCCTCACCCTTTATTAAATACTCCTCCTTCTTTACGCGTGTTCTGTGCTGGCAGTCTGTGACCCCTAGAAACATTGTCCCCAAACTCCCAGTTGCTCACTTCATCACCACAGCCCTTTCAAACACCACTTTTTTTTTCCTGTTTGTTTAGAAAACCCACTTTCAAATGATTCAGTACTTACTGAATTCATTCTAGGAAGAACCTAATCTCTGTACAGTGTGTTACAGGCCCTTCTTTACTTGAGCAACATTTTATTAAATGATGTGCAAAAATATGAATTTTAGAAATGTATACCTTTTTATATAGAAAACATTGAATCTCCTGTTTTCAGCCTCCCAAGCACTGGGATTGTGCATGTGCCATCTCAGCGTACCCTAGTGGCAGGGCAGGCATGACACGTGGGGGCTCAGTCTCCAGTCCCTATGTCTGCCTAAGCAGGTGCTGTAATCCACTGAGCTATCTGGCCAGTCCACTACATCTAGTCTTACCAGAGTTTCTTAGTACTTTTCCTTCTGGATTTGGTTTCTCTTTTCAGAAAATAAGGGAAGTCAAGAGACTGAAAGGACAAAGCACAGATTTGGAAGACATATTTGGAAAACGCGTATCTGATAAAGTACTATTATCCAAAATATATGAAGAACTCTTAAAAAACATAGTATGAGTCTTGGAGTAAGATGCTTAGCATGGCTTCCTTTCGGCTGGAACCGCCATCTTCCAGTAATTTGCCAAAATGACTAACACAAAGGGCAAGAGGAGGGGAACCCGGTATATGTTTTCCAGGCCTTTTAGAAAACATGGGGTTGTTCCTTTGGCTACATACATGCGAATCTACAAAAAAGGTGATATTGTAGACATCAAGGGAATGGGTACTGTGCAAAAAGGAATGCCTCACAAATGTTACCATGGCAAAACGGGAAGAGTCTACAACATTACCCAGCATGCTGTTGGCATTGTTGTAAACAAGCAAGTTAAGGGCAAGATACTTGCCAAGAGGATTAATGTGTGTATTGAGCATATTAAACACTCAAAAAGTCGTGATAGCTTCCTGAAACGTGTCAAGGAAAATGATCAGAAAAAGAAGGAAGCCAACGAGAAAGGTACCTGGGTTCAGCTGAAACGCCAGCCTGCCCCTCCCAGAGAAGCACACTTTGTGAGGACCAATGGAAAGGAACCCGAGTTGTTGGAACCCATTCCCTATGAATTCATGGCATAAACTGGGGACGTTGCTCTGCCATTCAGTACCTAATTGGCAGCTTAAGTGTTCTAGGTCCTATGTAAAAATAAAATCATCCTGTGTTGTAAGGGTGGTTTTCTTAGTTGAACAGGTATGTGGTGCCTTCTTACCTCAGAAATACTTGCAGCAGATTTTCACTGTACCCCGTAATTGTGTCTAGCCTTTACTCTTCAGTATTTTCTTGCTGAAAGATACTGCTGAGGTATTGCTCAGGTGTATACCCAAAAATTCAAATATTTATAAAGTATTTATATTGGCTTGAAGATCCTGTAAATCATCATGGGGAAAAGATGTATCAAAATAAATGGAAGTCACTTCAGAAACAAAAAAAAAAAAATGCTTAGCATGCATGAGATCCAGGGCTCAAACTGCATCGCAAACAACGAAAACCTAAAAGCACAAACTTAATAAGAAAACTAGCAACTTAAGTAAAAACTGCCAGACAAACCTGAACAGTTATATCACAAAGAGAAGGTATACAGATAGTGAATGGGCATATGAAAAGCTGCCTAGGGGCCAGGAATATAGCTCAGTGGCACAAGCACCTGCCTGGCAAGCACAAGGTCCTGAGTTCAATTCCCAGTACCAAAAAAGAAGGCTGCTGTGTGTCCTTGGGGAAATACAAATCAAACTGAGATTCTGCCACATTCCTGTTCGTTTTGGCAAAGGCCAAAAGACTAGAATGCCAAGTGCTAGTGAGGATGTGGAGCAAAAAGAATACTGCTTCTATTAGTGGGAAGGTGAATTGGTGCAGCCATTTGGGAATACAGCTTCGCAGCTAATTAAACATGAGCCATGGCCAGAGGTAGGAACATATATAGAGCATGTGGGAAGCACTAGGTTCAGTCCTCAGCATCAAAACAGCCAGCCTAACAGAATGTTACAATTCAGCAGTCATAATCCTTGGCATTTACACAAAGGAAGTAAAAAGTTACACAAAGGGGCAGGGAGATAGCTTAGTAGAATAAGTGCTTGCCTGGCAAGCGCAAGGGCCTGAGTTCAATCCCCAGTTCTGGAAAAAAAAAAAAAAAAAAGAAAAGAAAACTTACACAAAAACCTGAGCATAGATGTTTATAACAGTTTTACTCATAACTGCAAAATGTAGAAAGCAACAAGATGTCCTTCAGCAGCTGGGTGGATAAATAACCTGTCAGGCATCCACTCACTGAGAAATTACTCAGTGCTGAAAAGAAATGAGGTATGAAGTTATGAAAAGACATGGAGGAACTTGAAATGCAAATTTCTAAGTAAAAGAAGCCAATCTGAAAAGGTTGCAAATGTATGATTCCAACATAAGACATTCTGGAAACTGCAAAACTATGAAAACAGTAAGGACCAAATGCTGGGGAGATGGGGCTGAACAGGTAGAGGAATTTGAGGGCCCTGAAACTATTAATTCTGCTGTAATAGTAATTACATGTTACGACTATCATAACCCACAGAATGTCCAACACCAAGAATGACCCCAAATATAAACTGTGGCTAATAATGTGTGCACCAAGCTTCATCAGTTGCTACAAATGGACCATACTGGCGGGGGATGTCAGTAGTGCAGAAGGCCAGGGGCATATGGGAAACTTCTACACCAGTGATAGTGTATAGAGCTGAGCACCCAAACTGCAGCCCAAAATGCATTTATTTATCGCAAAGTACCAACACTGCAACTAAACCTGAATACTGAGGTTTTAGTTTAGAAAAAAACAACCCACAAATTAACTTTTTTTAAAAAGAAAATACATATTCCATAGGTTCACCACTGCTGTTCTATATATTCTGCCCAGTTTTGCTGGGGACCTAAAACTGCTCTTAAATCCTTTTTTTTTTTTTTTTTTTTTTTTTTGTGGAACTGGGGGTTGAACTTGGGCCCTTGTGCTTGTCAGGGAAGCATTTATTCCACTGAGCCATCTCTCCAG